TAGTGAGTACGAGCTGCCCCCCCACCGCCGGGGCTCGGCCCCGCGGCTGCGGCCCGGCCTTCAGCCCGCTCAAGGCCGCTGTCAGCCTCCTTCTTCACACCTGGTTCTTACGCGGTGGTGACGGAAAGTCAGTTATGAATTGGCTGTGGAGGTTTCGTTGCAGCACTGGGAGGCAGGTGGCCAGAGCTCCCTGCCCCTTCTAGCTCTGGAATAGAGACCTAAAGTGTGCAACAAAAATGTTTTGAAATGAGGTGAAACAATTGCTTTTTTTTTTTGAGGCCATTTCCTCTTGTCCTATTGCTTGTTACTTGGGACAAGAGACTGACACCCACCTCGCTACAACCTCCTTCCAGGTAGTTGTAGAGCGCGATGAGGTCTCCCCTCAGCCTCCTCTTCTCCAGGCTAAACAGCCCCAGTTCCCTCAGCCGCTCCTCATCAGACTTGTTATTGCAACTTATGCAAGAGTGAGATTCAACTGCCTAAACACAAGCAACTAGTGGCACTTAAGATGTCCAAGCTCTTTGTAGATACCCAACATATGTGACATGTATTTGTACCTTTCTGGAGTAGCAGCCTTGCAGGTTATCACAGGGCATCTGAAATGGTCTAGGATGCAATCCCATGCTCCACAAGCAATAACAGGCCCTTAAGCGCCTAACTCATCTATAGATTCTTACATGGAGGCATCTTAGCCTCAAACTGAATCTTGCCCTGGGTAACTTTTTAAGCCCTGTGAAACTACTCCTATTACTGACAACGGGGTCCATATGTTTAAGCATATGAAGGCCTGGAGTTTTAAACCTTTAGCCTGCAGGAGAAAGGATGGTCATATCTATCCACATACATATGTACAAAATTTACACAAACTGACCTTGCTCTGAAGTTGGCATTGTAATAGAAAAGTAGTCAGTATGTTGGAAAAGAGGTTGGATTAATGCAACAGATATTAATTCATAAGTCTGTATATTTTACAACAAAGAGGAACACTTATTAACATCTACTGTAGTAGATAGTAAAAAAAAAAATTAAATTAGTAAATAGTAAAACAAAACTAGAATTAGCCCCTAACATTGAATTGCGCCTCTGTTTTCCCGTGAACTCTCAGCCTTGTTCTCTCTCATGCTGCTCCCCCTGCAGATCTTGGGAAATGTTTCCGAGTTCCAGCGAGTCGTCAATGTACTGCAGGAAGGGGTGGATTTTGATATTGATGTCAATGCATCTGTCTTTGAAACTAATATTCGAGGTGAGGTGGGTTTTTCTGTGGTGTTTATGCTGGATTACCTTCCTGTATGAGTCTCTGAACTGTACACAGAGGTAACGCGAGGCAGCGGTCAGAGTGAATTTGTAATGCGGTATAACAGGACATGTAAACACACAGAAGAATCCCAAACAAATGTCACTTCCTTTTTGTCTTTGCACATCACCTTTCTGTTTCCTGCCTCAACACAAACAGAAGTAGACGTGGCAGTTTCAATATTCTCGTGCCAGGTTTTAAGCTTTGGAATAAACATCTCTTCCACTGAAACAGTACAAATTGTATACTACCTTTTTTACATACTGTTTTGGAATAGAGATTGTTAATTTCTTGCTTTAGCGTCATAAAGTGAAACTTGTCTTTTTTCTTCAAAATCACAAGGGCCTTTGGAGTCTTGTACCCGGTTGAACGCTTAGCTGCTTTGGTACTGTCCAACTAAAAGACACTGGCAGGGAACAAAACTGTTAGTTATGCTTTTTTTGTTTCTCCTGTCAAATATTGGTGAGCCAGTTTTTGCAGCAGTGTAATTTCTCTGTGTTTGTGCTTGTTATGTGACAGTAGACAAGCCTGTGAAAAGGGCTAATAACTCCCTGCCTCTGTCAGTCACACTGAAATTCTTGACACTGGCCTAGACATTTTTTTCCAAGGAATTTAAGAAGGTACACTGTATTACTTTACACAAACATAGCATTAAGCTGTCTGGAAGAAATGAAACAGAATTCCTCTCACAGAGGTTCGTGTTCATTATAGTGTTAGCTTTCTGATTGTCTGCCGGGCAGTGCAGATATAGTAGGGCAAGTGGGATCTGATGCTTCTACAATAATGGAAGATATATATCTGCTACCCAGTGCAAACAGGCAGGAAGAAACAAACCAACCACTCTTCTTTTGCGGCATACTTCATTAGGCTGTTAAAAATGAGCCACCTCACTTTCCTTCTCCATAAACACTGCCTCTGCATCATGATAAATACAAATAAATAGAACTGGTTTCAGATTTCATTCCTCCCTCACATTCTTTAATGGTATTCTCACTGTGTACCTTCCAGTGGTGGGTGGTCTCCTCTCCGCTCACTTGCTGTCGAAGAAGGCTGGCGTTGAAGTAGAAGTGGGCTGGCCGTGCTCTGGACCTCTCCTCAGGATGGCGGAGGAAGCAGCTCGCAAGCTCCTGCCGGGTGAGAACTTGTCTGGTTTGTGTTGCTGTGCTGTAGTTCATGAGGTGACTGGTGTGTTTGATGGAGATGGCACGGTTTGATGTGTAAACTCATAAAATAGTCCTGCATTCCTTGAGCTCAAAGCAGGTTTAGCTTGCGGGGAAAACATTGTGAAGTGCATGATACCAGTTGTATATATGCATGCCAAGTGTTGTACGCACTTAACACATCAGTCTGTTGCTTGCTGAGGGGAAATATATTTAATATAAATAATAAATAAAGGCTGTGAAACAGCAGCTTGTAAAACCAAGAAGATGCAGCCTTATCTACCCCTTTGTGGGCTGCTGCTGGGATGAGTGCCCTGATAGCATGGCACTGTTTCCTTGTGTGGTGTGCACCCTGGGCTACCGCTGAGTAATCGCAGGCTCAGTGTTTGCACTTCCCTGACCAGTGTGTTTAGACTATTTTGACTACCCTGCTTGTGCTGTAAAAAAAGTAGGGATGCAGTCTGCTGCTCTGGGCAAGGTGGAAGAGATCTGCGGTATCTTCCCAGGACTGTGTGTAGCTTGGGGTACCCTCTCTGCCCCTCCCAGGATCACACTCTACTTCTGTTTTCGTTCTTTGCAGTGACTGCAATTGCTCCAGTCCTGCTTCTTGCCTGTCTGCAGTGGAATGTGAGGCACATGTTTGCTTGACAGTCTGTCAAACGTAACTGAACACTCATGTGAAACAAAAATACTATGTTTCAGCTTTTCAGACTCCAACTGGGATGCCATATGGAACAGTGAACTTGCTGCACGGAGTAAACCCTGGGGAAACCCCAGTTACCTGTACTGCTGGAATTGGTACATTTATAGTGGAATTTGCCACTTTAAGCCACCTTACTGGTGACCCGGTGTTTGAGGATGTTGCCAGGAAGGCTTTGAAGGCGCTGTGGAAAAATCGCTCAGATATTGGGCTGGTGAGTGAGGAATGGACTTTGAATTTGCTGGCCTGCTTTTGTATAGTTTTGTGGATGCAATTCTAAGCATAAACAGAGAGGAGACAGAACTAGATAAATAACCATAGTGCTAATAAGTGGGTTGAAGTCGCATGTTTGACGTTGTTCTTGAACACCTGCAGCATCCACATCTCTGCTTTAGTGGTGCAACCCAACATTATGCCATTGTTCTGTTCCATAACAGATGTGGTTGGGGGACAAATGCCTTCTACTGGGTATTGCAGTTTTTATAACAGCAGCTGTAACAGATTAAAAAAAGGTCTGTCTGATGCCTGGTGTGACAACAACCTACGGAAGAAAATAAGAGCACAGCAAGTGCAACAGGATACTCCCAGCCTCTACAGCTTTGGCATTTTGGGAATATCCAGAGCTAGAAGCATTATCTCTGGATAGTGTTCACTATCTCCTGGTCAATCTTTCTTCAGTTAATTTCGATAGCTGCTTTTTGAACCTATGTGAGCTCCTAGTGTTGCATATGTGAAGTGCAAGAGATTTGTTCATATGCTGTATGAAGAAGTGTTCCTTTTGTTTGCTTTGGGATCTGTTTATTTTTTTGTTTATGCCCCTAATCCTTGTTCAAGAAAGAAACTGAATAGCTGGGTTTTTTCATCTTTGTTAAGCAAGTCACAATTGTGTATTATATTCTCCATCATCTGGGTCTCTTTCTAGGCTGAAGAGTCCCAGGTTAGAAGGATCTATTTAAATATTAGCATGGCAGCTCTCATGCCTTTGACATCCCGGGCCTCCATCTCTGCATCTGTACCTCTTCATCCTCCTCTACTCTTTTGTAGGATGTGAATTAGGACCAGACACATGTTGAAATTGTGCATTTTTACAGTAGTGTAATGGTGTTTTGTTTTGGCCAGTGCAGCATTTATATTGGAAGCACAAAATTCCAAAGCTGTGTTTTCTACAGTTTGTACTTCTCTGATACTGATAAATGTGTCATGTAATGGAGAAAATGCTAGTTGGTTATGGACATTGTGAATCTGTGAAATGAACAGTCTGAAAGAAGGTCAAGGTTTTCTTGTGTGGTTGTGTTGTGGGGATTTTTTAATCATAATTTAGTAGATTAGCTTTATTTCTACTTTAACTTCCTCTTTCCTCCTCTCCTCACTTCTTCCAGGTTGGTAACCACATTGATGTGATAACTGCCAAGTGGGTGGCCCAAGATGCTGGCATTGGGGCCGGAGTGGACTCCTACTTTGAATACCTTGTTAAAGGAGCCATTCTCCTGCAGGACAAGGAGCTGATGTCCATGTTTCTAGGTGAGCAGTTTGTTTTCTGTGTGAAGGGTCCCAGAAATGCTTCCTTGACTGCACCTGTAAGAACTTTGCACGTGGGACTGTGGAAGAAGAAGATGAATAATCTAATAGGGTACATTCAAGACTGTTCCTGAAGCCTTTGTTGTAATATTTTTGAACAGTCTGTGTTACAAAGAGTTACCAAAGTGAGCATCCCAAGAAGTCATTCATTTGACATGGTTCAAGTAAAAAAGGGGCTTCTCTCATTCTTAAAAAAGGATTTTTTTTGTTGGATTACCTACCCATCTATGTTTCTTTATAGAATATAACAAAGCTATCAAAAATTACACAAAGTTTGATGACTGGTACCTCTGGGTTCAGATGTACAAAGGAACAGTGTCCATGCCTGTGTTTCAGTCCCTGGAGGCCTACTGGCCAGGCCTACAGGTAAGAGCTGTCATACCAGTAGCATATGGTGATTTTGTTCATCTGTCTTGGGTTGGTCTTTAATATGAAAGTTACAAATATAACCCTCATCTGTGCTGATTGAAGAGTTTGTTTTGATCTCTGGTGAAATCTATAGTAGTCTGAGCATGTAGAAGAGCAGATGTTGACTTTATCTATGGTCTATAAAGAAAGTCTCCCATTAAGCATGATGGCAGGGCAGGTTTTTTGTAGCAAACTCCACTGACAGTGATCTCATAATCCAGATGGGAACGTAAGGTAAAAGAAAATCACACCTCTTTTTCCACCACCTTATAAATGCTTTATTTGTGTGAATACTTTCCCACTGAGAGGTTTGCTTTCTCATCAGTACTTACATTTGGTCTGGGACTTTGTTATCCCCAGTGAAATACACTGGATGCTGTGATTGACTAAAAGAAATGTTGACTGAAGAAACCCAGCCTTCCGTTAACTAAAAATCAAAGAGACTTCATATTATTTAGGTATGCGGAAAGTGATCCAATGGAAAAGCAGCACCTATCTCCTTAATCCTATCTATTCTTAAGGCATCATGCCTAAATATTACTTACATCATTCAGACCTGTTGAACAACCCATTTCTGTCACATCTCTTGCTTTGAATATAGGAGTGTTATTGTATCAATTCCACTGCTGTTTCTTCTTCACCTAGATGTTGCTTTGCTACTTGTTTCCTCTCTCTCAGAGCCTAATTGGGGACGTAGATAATGCCATGCGAACCTTCCTCAACTATTACACTGTCTGGAAGCAGTTTGGTGGGCTGCCTGAGTTCTACAACATTCCCCAGGGCTATACGGTGGACAAGAGAGAAGGATATCCACTCAGGCCTGGTAAGCAGAAATGAAATAAAAACGAACGTGGACTCCTGCTTTTGCTCTGGTGGTAAGATCAAATGTTAGCAACACCTGCCCTCCAAAAGTTCCTCCCCAGTTTTGCTTTGACGTAGTTCCTGCATGCATTTTACCAGTGATTTCCATAGTCAAAGCTACACATTTTGCTTTCTGCCATTCACAAAGGCAGGGCTACTTTTTAAAGGAAGCAAACCATAGTGCTACTATATAAAGGGGGCCTGTTAATGAATTGGGTTCACAATGTAGGATTTGACACGTTTAAGTGTTAGACTGTCTGACATGGGATGTTTTAAAGTCAAGCAAAATGTTAATGTGATTGCCTGTGTCCTTTAAATTTAGGAAGTGAGAGTGAGTATGAATAGACCACACTAATTCTGCTGAGTTCCTGAAACAAACTAATTCTAGTTGCACTAGTAAAGCTCAACATACAAGAGGGATTATATGTTGTCTGTGATACTGCACTGAAATGATCTGTCTTTTTTTCTGTTTTTTACAACTCTGACAAAAAAAAAATCACACCTGATTATTAGGTCAGTAAAACTTTGTAAATGAGAATAATTAATTTCCTTTTGGTCTGAGTGTTCAGGTGACATCCACATTGGACACTTCTACCCAAAATACTCCTCAGCATTAGCTTTCAAATGTATTATAGCATCCAAAAAGACCTGTTTCTTTAGTAAGTAAACACAGCACAGTGCGTGTGTTGCCTATATAGAGTATTTCCATAGTGCCTGTTTTCGTGGTGTTTTAGATACCCCTGTTTCCGAGGCTTATGGTATTGTTTAAAAATACTTTGGGGGTGGAATTTCTTGTTTGTAATCCTTTCTAGAAGCATCTTTCTTTTCTTCCTTTGACAACTGAGTTTTAATCCTTTTCCCCTTTGCTCCCCGCCCACTCTCTGAATGTGGGAGGGGAGCATTATTCACTTTCACCTGAGCTGATGCAATCTGGTTAGAGTGAATTTCTTTGTAGCACATCCTTAGTAAAAGCAAGTATCTGTGCTTGAGCCAGAGGAAATACAAGGCAAGCTAGGCTGTTTACCTGATCATCTTAAAGTAGTATTCTTAAATTAGTTCAAGGAATATCTCATCTTCCTTGTGTACATGGTTTGGTAATCTTTATGCTTGCAAATGTTTGGGGTTTTTTTGCAGAGCTGATTGAGAGTGCAACGTATCTGTACCGTGCTACAAGAGATCCCACGCTCTTAGAACTGGGAAGAGACGCAGTGGAGTCAATAGAGAAAATCAGCAAGGTGGACTGTGGATTTGCAACTGTAAGTGCTAAATCAACTGCTAAGTCAGCTAAATGGCTGCTAAAAATCAGCTTTTAGAAAGTGTTCTCATGAATGGTGTTTTGCCATTAAGTCAAGCGATTGCTTTGACTGAAACATGACTTTTTTTTCAAACAAACCCCTTGTATTTCTCTGTGAAGCTGATCTGGTAACTGCTAGTCATGTTTCTTGTAGTAACTTCCCTCACAGCCTGAACAGTGGGCCAAATTCTGTCATTGGCTGTTGCACCAGAGCCCAAAACATGGGAAAGCTTCTCCTGCCTCCTGGTAGCTACTAGGGGTTTC